CCGGCCTCCTTCTTTGGTACCAGGAAGAAGGTCGACATGAAGCCCGACGCGTCTCCCCCGGAGGGAGCGGTGCGAATTGCCCGTTTCCCGAGGAGGGAACTGATCTCCCCTTCGAGGGAGAGACGTTTGGTAGGATCGGACGGAACTACCGTCGGTCGAACGATCATGTCTGACGGGGGGGTGCTCGAGAACTCGAGTGCGTAGCCGCACCGATCGTGTCGAGCACCCACCGGTCCGACGTAATTAAACCCCAGGACCCCGCAAAGTCTCGGAGACGGCCTCCCACGGGTCCGACGGCGGGAGGCCGCCAAGAGTCTACTAAGTCACTTGCGCCAGCCCCCGGGATAGCGGGGGGCCGGTGCCCAGAAACCACGGCCGGATTGGGGCCGTTGTTGTCCAGAGAACGTGCGGGCCTGCGTGGCGCGCGCACCGGAAGTATTGTCCGTGCGGCCACGAAAACCACCGCGACCAGATTTCAGAGGTTTGCGGCGGGGAATGACAAATGTTTTGCCCTTACCCTGCTGTTGTTTGGACGCCGGTGCTGGAGGCTTCTTGAAGTTGATTTCTCTCCGTAGCCTTCAGACGTTTGGCCTCATCTCGCATCTGATCTTCGAATTTACCGGCAAATAAATATCCGGGCCCGTCAAGGGGAGATCTTCAAGTCTTTTTGCGAGCACCCTGCGACGGGAGGAAAAGTGCGTCGAGCACGTTACCCCGGCGGGTGGTCGTTGATAGGGTCGACACGCGTGCGAATTGATCAAGCACTGAGCGTAGACCATGGTCGAGGCAATGAAGGGCCGCAGTCAGCATATCTGCTGGAATCGGCGAATCCTCTTCATAGCCCACGGCCAAATATTCCGTGAGAAGAAGTAAGAAAGACGCTGATTTCAAACCGAAGCGTGAAGCTGCGTCTATATTCCTCAAAACATCTTCAAGCTTACCCGTGTTTTGTCCACAAAGGGCCGCTTGGAAGACGAACCACTCTCATCGGCCGCAAGTTTATCTTTTGCGGCGTCGGGGATGGTAGGCGGAGTGAAGAACTTCACATGATCCTCAGCCGGGAAACGAAAATAATCCCGTTCCCGACTGAGAAACGGCCGCCATTTATCAGTTGACATGATGCTGTCGATACGTTCCACGCATACTTGATCTAAAGGAAGTACGGGAATATCTTATCGCTGCTAGATGCGGAGCCCGTCCTTCGCTTGAAAGAATTATGATCGGCGGAGGGGGCTCATCAGCGGAGGGTAAATGAAGTACTCTTATCATATCCCTCTGTACTAAACGGAGCTCCGTTTCAGAGATAGACAGCCGCTGTAAACGGTCTGGTTCCTCGTCATCATTGGATGACTCAGCCGATTGTGAGGGCCGAGTTGACTCCGGTGAACGAACGCCGTCTGGAGGGGCGAGTTGTACCGAACCACGCGGTAGTGGCTGGACAACTTCCTCCGAGTCAAACTGCAAAGATGGATGAATGCTCAATACAGGCGGGGATCCCAGCGTACGCGGTAGGTCCCGCGGCCTCTGATCCCCCCAACCGTGGCCCACGGCCGATGCATGCGAGACGCTCGCTGCAGGCCGGGCCTCCGGTGTACGGTCAACCACGTGCGGTATGTCCCGCTGTGCTTGGGCCACCCAACCGTGACCAACGAACGACGACTGTGAAGCCCTCACCGCAGGCGGGGACGCCGAGCACGACTAATTGTGTGCGGTATGTCCCTCTGTTCCCGGGCCACCCAAGCGTGACCGGTGACTGAAGACTGTGATGCGGGCCCAACGACCGATGGTTGTGGGCTGTAGTCCACTGCTGCAGGGGGGCCCCCAATAGGGCCCGCCCGGCGGCCTGCCGACATAGCCGATAGCGTATCGGAAATCGACTGAAAAGCCAGCAGGAAATTGCTCTAGAAACCGCGTCCTCCCCCCGGAGCGTTTGCCCCGTTGGAATGGTCAGAGGAGTCGTCAGAACCCGAAGAAGAACGGTGCGATCGACGTGCAGCCTTCTTCTTCTTATTCTTCTTTTTAGAAGAACGGCCCCGAGGTGTGTCCGAGGAAAAATCGGAAGACACCTGGGGCACCGGGACCCCCGAACAACGGAAAAAATCCGATGACGAGAGTAGTCCCTCTGAGCGAGCTAGCACGGGGGCCGTCGGCCCGGGATCCCCCGGGGCGACCGGCTCCGTATCGCTCATAATGCACCCGGCCGACAGCGCCTCAGGCCCCGTGGGCTGAGCGAGCGCTGGACGGACCGGTAGCCCGTGCAATAGCCCATCCCGACAACCAGTGGTGTTCGGCACTGTGTCGGGAGGGCACGGGTGACTAGAGCCCACCGAAGTGTGACGGCTAGTCCCCTCGGGCTGCCCCGTGATCGGGGGAGGGCTTGGTACCAAAGCGGCGCTCGTTGCCGAGCCACGCTTGCCCTGACGGCCCTTCTTAGGCTTTGCTCCGGCACAGGAGATATGTTTTAGGGGAACCTTGCCGGAGTGTGCCTTTAGTTTGGGTGTTCCGCCCGAGTTGACCGGAGAAGGTGACCGAGGTCCCCTTAACTGATCGGCGGAACTGCCAACTCCCCCAGCCGACTGTGGCTGAGGGTGCCGGACGAGAGACTGCTGCCGCGGTAACGTCGGAGCGTTAACGGCAGAGTCCCCCGAGAACTCTGTCTGTCCCGTGGGAGAATTATTCCCTCCGGTTAGTGACAGATCGGCCCTCCCCAAACGTTTCATATTTATGAAATAAATGAAACCAAGAAGATGATGAAACTCTACAAACTAATGATTACTAACTCTTTTATTAAATACTTCTCTTAAACGCAAAAAAGGGTAGTAAATGACGAGGCAAACAGCGAGCTATTTCACGCACGTCCTACCCGACCTGCCGCTAAGAGAAAAGAGGACGCTCACGAGGCACGCATGCCGCGGGGTATTATGGGTAGGGCGCCAGAGGGCGCTATTGTATATAACTCTTAGCGGAAAATACCTGCCGGTAGGGGGAATATGCATAAGTAGTATTGCTCTACAGGTAAGTAGAGTGAAGTAGACTTGTAAAGTAATGGAACCAGTCTAACTGGCCTGCACCTGTCCATGAACATGTAACCAATAGTAAACAAAATTTGGACTGAAAAAAAATTGGTAAATTTGGAGCAGTAGTTGAAAAATAGCAATCGTTGCTAAAATGGTCAAAACAGCTCAGTGTTTGTCCACAAACACACTTCTAGTTGGCTGTTTCGGCAAACTTGCCTTTGTTTTTGTAAAGATTTTTGTTTGTTTAAGTCGTTTTTGCCCATAGCATTTGTACACGCTTTTTTTTGTGCCCGGCACTTTTGGCAATAAAATCAATCTGATTGCCTTTATACTTGGCACACACTTAGCCCAGCACCTGCAGATGTGTGTCGAACATTGACGCCATCATGACGTTGTCTCATGACGTCACAACATAGGTACATATTTTGAAGGTCTATATCTCCGGAACTACTGTTCTGATTTGGGTGAAATTTGGTATGTACCTAGACCGAGAAATGTTATAGGTGAAAAATGGAGTGACGTCACGATAACGTCATTATGGGTCACGTAATGTCACATAAATATTAATAGATTTAATATTTGAAAATCAATATACAATCAACAATGGGAGATCTGAACATGACTTTTGTGGGAATTGATAGAATAAGACACGCTCTTCATTTTTGGTAGAGCGTGCAAATTCACGTGACCCCTCCTTCTGGTTGAACCCGGAAGTGCCTGGTAGTTTAAAATTGGTGAAAGATGTGAACTTGCTTTCAACGACGTATGTTCTGGCTAAGTTGTTCTTTACAAAAAAAATAACACTAATGTCATAAAATGTTAAAGCACCCTCTAGCGGCATGTTGTTATACATGATTATAGATGAAAATTGGTGACGTCATCATGATGTCATCATGTGACATCATAATTCAAAGTCCTATGAGAATGTAATCACATATTTATATGCCACCATTTATTATAAACAGAACTACACATCCTTCCTTGATGGAATTATACTTGAAACTTTACATGTCACATGTCACAAAAAAAAGATGCTGAAACAGCCCTGTGTGTGTCCACAAACGTAAGTCTAGTTTTTTCCTGGTTTTTTTTTCTTCTGCATGTCTACCATCCAAAATTATATATACTTTGTACATTTTTTTTCTCGTAGGCACTTTGGGCACAAAATAAAGTCATATGACATTGAAACTGAACATAGTTAAAAAGAACATAGCAAAGGTCTTTTTTCATGAACATAGACGCAGTGATGACGTCATCATGGGACATGTGGCGTCATCTTAAACGTGCACACTTTAAGTCCCTTTATCTCATGAATGGCAAGTCCATGAACATTTTTGTTTTGCTGGGCTTATATAATATCACAATGTTATAATTGTCTACATGATTTTCCATAAGATTCACTAAAAACCTAAAAGATAGTCTAGTCGCAAAGATGCACATGTATAGTCTGCATTTATACCAACACTTGCTTTTCCACACTGTGATTTCAGTTTTGGTTGTTGTAAACGTATTGTGGCACTTAAATTTCCTGGCCTATATTAATATTTCCAAAACGACATCCATGGATTGTATGTTGAGTGCCCTCTACAATATCTGAGGAACAAAATTACTACATTCAAGATCCTATTAGTATCAGGTTGGTTAGGTAATGGATGTATGTGTAAAGTTTGAAAAACTCTGATTTCTTTAAAAAATAACTTACCATACTCTTTGTGTATCTTTATTACTTTAAAATCTCCTCAGACATCTTTTCTGTCACCACAACTTTCTTACTTATGCCATCTCCAACCGTCCAAAATTGAATCGCAACAAAAAGTTAATAATTTTAATAAATGTTAATAAATTTAAAAAATGCGGAAAAGCTGCATGTTCTGTTTTCAATGGACACACATCTAGTTATGTAACTCAGTTGTAAATATTTTAAAGCAAAAACAGAAACAGTTTGAATTGCAACGAATTATTAGTATTATTGTAGTAAAATGCTTTCGTTTTCAAGTTATATTCATTTATCATTGCACTTCCGATAATCCCAGAAGTAATGGGCCAGCAGTTGACCGGGAATTTGACCGGGAATATGCCTGGGAATCAAAATATTGCCCAAGGCAGTCAATTCAATTGAGGAATAGTTGAGGAATAGTTTGACTAGCCCGCTGCTGTTTTGACTAGCATTTGGCTAGCGGGCTACTGCTAATTTCAAACCCTGCACATCTTTGGACTAGCATTTGGCTAGCGGGCTACTGCTAATTTTGAACCCTGCACATCTTTGGACAAGGGTTCATGTGTGTACAAGGTTTCATCCCATCCCTCGAACCATTTGGGTCAAATTATGTTTCCTATCAACACTTATTTCAGTATTTTGAATCCTCCAAACATTGACCTCCAACTATCTCCAGAGGTAATGCTGAAGCGATTTAACGGACATGACAACAAAAATTTACTTCATCAAGCCATGATCTATCAGAGGACAAAGTATGAACGTGATTCTTTTTTTAGTTCATAAGTTATTTCATAGTAATATTATCTGAAAAAGCAACTAAACAGTGGATGGACCTTTGGCCAGAGAAATAGTAAAGTAAGGTTTAAACAGTAAGTCAGTCTGACAGGAGATGTAGAATATATACAGCTATACATACTGACCTTACAAGCTGTTTATCCAAGGAGATTTTGCAAACCATGTATGCAAGAGAGATCAAATCATCTTCATGCAGTGATGGATTCCTAAATATCAAAAGTTATATTTTGTTCATGTTAATACATTGTTAAACTTTGAAAATTCAAGCATTCTTTTAAAAGTAATATATACCATTTGCAGACTTCAAAAATGAAATGGCCTAATTGCTGTGAAATAGCTTACTTGCTAAAGGTAAAGGTAAGCGAGACTTCCCTTCTCCCACGAAGTGGTAAAGGCCACTTCACTGCTGCAGGCAAGTCGCTGGCTTCGCAGGCGATCAATTTGTGAACAATCAACTTGTTAACATACACACCCCTAGCATATTATAGTGTAGCGGTGATTCTTCCAAATCTGCAGGGATTTCTATTCTAATAAGAAAATAGTCACCTCCGATACTTACAAATGCACAAGAAAAGAACATTGCGTCACCATGCACGCATGGGTACTAAGGTACTAAATTCGGTCCTATTAGTTTCCAAATCTTCATCAATGATGATGACGCACATGGTTCCTCCTCTGCTTATTGGGAATATGTCCTGCATGATGGTTGGTCAGCATGTGGGATTTATGACTGAGACATGTCCAAAAATGTGAGCTGTAATGTTGAAGTACTGCATGTGAATTCTCGTTTCAGTCAGATTGCATGGTGTGTTCTTATTAAGCAATATTCTGAGAACTCCAAAAAGACAATTTCACAGCTAATATTGAAAATTAGTTGTGGGCTGAACATGGATCTTTGGTCTTTCACTTAATTAAGAGCTGTCTTCATAAAGTGCCAAAGACTATTTCAGAAATCTCTCCTTCTCATGTTCTATAATTTGAAGTTTTTAATTTCAAGTTTTAATATCAGCTTCCCATTTCTCAACAAGATAATAGCATTCAAACCAAAATATCCAAAATCTGATTTTTTTTAACACATATGAGGTTTCCTCCCTCCCTTTGCTGCTGCTACTGTTCCGCACACGGTGGAATACATCAAGAAGATAATAATGGTGGATTCCTACCGCAGCGGTGGGCCAAATTTACCCCTGTTCAACTGAGACCGAGCAACCTTAGCCAGGCTTGTGCTGGGGCCATGGTCGTCGGGAGAAACAGAGACACACACTGTTGGAGATTTACAATTTGTTCCTCCGTAGGCCGAACCAGTCCCTTCTGGAGATCGAGAGACGCTCCCAGAAAGATTGGGGATTGGGATGGATGTGGATGGGATTTCTCGGCGTTGATAATAAACCCGAGGTCCGCCGCTAGACACCAAATCAGATTGAGTGCCGCCGACGCGGCTGCCTGAGATTGAGCAATAATGATCCAATCGTCCAGATACCGTGAACTCGTACTGGACGTTATCGTACTGAAAACGAAGAAACTTCCAGTGGTCTGGTCTGACAGGAATGTGTAGATATGCATCTTTCAGATCTAGACTGGCTCCCCACGCAGGTGCATGGATCGATTGGAGTATGATGTTGAGCGTATCCATGCGAAAACGTCTTGGCCGAATAAATTTGTTGAGGGGTTTTAGATTTAAAATCAGGCGCCACATGCCGCCTCCTTCTTGGGTACCAGGAAGAAGGTCGACATGAAGCCCGACCGCGTCTCCCCCGGAGGGAGTGGGCAAATTGCCCGTTTCCCGAGGAGGGAATTGATCTCTCCTTCGAGGGAGAGACGTTTGGTAGGATCAGACGGAACTACCGTCGGTCGAACAATCATGTCCGAGGGGGGGGGGGGGGTGCTCGAGAACGATCGAGTGCGTACCCGCACCCGATCGTGTCTAGCACCCACCGGTCGGACGTAATTAAGCCCCAGGACCCCGCAAAGTCTCGGAGACGGCCTCCCACGGGTCCGACGGCGGGAGGCCGCCACGAGTCTACTTAGTCACTTGGGCCGGTGCCCGGAAACCACGGCCGGATTGGGGCCGTTGTTGTCCAGAGAACGTGCGGGCCCGCGTGGCGCGCGCACCGGAAGTATTGTCCGTGCGGCCACGAAAACCACCGCAACCAGATTTCAGAGGTTTGCGGCGGGGAATGACAAATGTTTTACCCCTACCCCGCTGTTGTTTGGACGCCGGTGGTTGAGGCTTCTTGAAGTTGATTTTCTCCGTAGCCTTCAGACGTTTGGCCTCATCTCGCATCTGATCTTCGAATTTACCGGCAAATAGATCCGGGCCCGTCAAGGGGAGATCTTCAAGTCTTTTGCGAGCACCCTGCGATGGAAGGAAAAGTGCATCGAGCACGTTACCCCGGCGGGTGGACGTTGATAGGGTCGACACGCGTGCGAATTGATCAAGCACTGAGCGTAGACCATGGTCGAGGCAATGAAGGGCCGCAGTCAGCATATCTGCTGGAATCGGCGAATCCTCTTCATAGCCCACGGCCAAATATTCCGTGAGAAGAAGTAAGAAAGACGCTGATTTCAAACCGAAGCGTGAAGCTGCGTCGATCTTCTTCAAAACATCTTCAAGTTTACCCCGTGTTTTGTCCACAAAGGGCCGCTTGGAAGACGAACCACTCTCATCGGCCGCAAGTTTATCTTTTGCGGCGTCGGGGATGGTAGGCGGAGTGAAGAACTTCACATGATCTTCAGCCGGGAAACGAAAATAATCCCGTTCCCGACTGAGAAACGGCCGCCATTTATCAGTTGACATGATGCTGTCGATACATTCCACGCATACTTGATCTAAAGGAAGTACGGGGAATATTTTATTGCTGCTAGATGCGGAGCCCGTCCTTCGCTCGAAAGATTTATGGTCGGGCGGAGGGGGCTCATCAGCGAAGGGTAAATTAAGTACCCTCATCATATCCCTCTGTACTATTAAAACGGAGCTCCGTTTCAGAGATAGACAGCCGCTGTAATCGGTCTGGTTCCTCGTCGTCATCGGATAACTCAGCCGATTGTGAGGGCTGAGTTGACTCTGGTGAACGATAGCCGTCTGGAGGGGCGAGTTGTACCAAACCACGCGGCAGTGGCTGGACAACTTCCTCAGAGTCAAGCGGCATGGATGGATGAATGCTCAATACAGGCGGGGATCCCAGCGTACGCGGTAGGTCCCGTGGCCTCTGATCCACCCAACCGTGGCCCACGGCCGATGCATGCGAGACGCTCGCTGCAGGCCGGGCCTCCGGTGTACGGTCAACCACGTGCGGTATGTCCCGCTGTGCTTGGGCCACCCAACCCTGACCTAGCACGACGACTGTGAAGCCCTCACCGCAGGCGGGGACGCCGGAGCACGACTAATTGTGTGCAGTATGTCCCTCTGTTCCCGGGCCACCCAAGCGTGACCGGTGACTGAAGACTGTGATGCGGGCCCAACGACCGATGGCTGTGGGCCGTAGTCCACTGCTGCAGGGGGGCCCCCAATAGGGCCCGCCCGGCGGCCTGCTGACATAGCCGATAGCGTATCGGAAATTGACTGAAAAGCCAGCAGGAAATCTGCTCTAGAAACCGCGTCCTCCCCCCGGGAGCGTTTGCCCCAGCGGGACCGGTCAGAGGAGTCGTCAGAACCCGAAGAAGAACGGTGCGATCGACGTGCAGCCTTCTTCTTCTTATTCTTCTTTTTAGAAGAACGGCCCCGAGGTGTGTCCGAGGAAAAATCGGAAGACACCTGGGGCACCGGGACCCCCGAACAACGGAAAAAATCCGATGACGAGAGTAGTCCCTCTGAGCGAGCTAGCACGGGGGCCGTCGGCCCGGGATCCCCGGGGGCGACTGGCTCCGTATCGCTCATAATGCACCCGGCCGACAGCGCCTCAGGCCCCGTGGGCTGAGCGAGCGCTGGACGGACCGGTAGCCTGTGCAATAGCCCATCCCGACAACCAGTGGTGTTCGGCACTGTGTCGGGAGGGCACGGGTGACTAGAGCCCACCGAAGTGTGACGGCTAGTCCCCTCGGGCTGCCCCGTGATCGGGGGAGGGCTAGGTGCCAAAGCGGCGCTCGTTGCCGAGCCACGCTTGCCCTGACGGCCCTTCTTAGGCTTTGCTCCGGCACAGGAGATATGTTTTAGGGGAACCTTGCCGGAGTGTGCCCTTAGTTTGGGTGTTCCGCCCGAGTTGACCGGAGAAGGTGACCGAGGTCCCCTTAACTGATCGGCGGAACTGCCAACTCCCTCAGCCGACTGTGGCTGAGGGTGCCGGACGAGAGACTGCTGCCGTGGTAACGTCGGAGCGTTAACGGCAGAGTCCCCCGAGAACTCGGTCCGTCCCGTGGGAGAACTATTCCCTCCGGTTAGTGACAGATCGGCCCTCCCCAAACGCTTCATATTTATGAAATAAATGAAACCAAGAACATGATGAAACTCTTTTATTAAATACTTCTCTTAAACGCAAAAAAGGGTAGTAAATGACGAGGCAAACAGCGAGCTATTTCACGCACGTCCTACCCGACCTGCCGCTAAGAGAAAAGAGGACGCTCACGAGGCACGCATGCCGCGGGGTATTATGGGTAGGGCGCCAGAGGGCGCTATTGTATATAACTCTTAGCGGAAAATACCTGCCGGTAGGGGGAATATGCATAAGTAGTATTGCTCTTCAGGTAAGTAGAGTGAAGTAGACTTGACATTTTCAGCAATGATAAAATAGCCACAAATCCATTTGATTTCGACTTCCTTTGGAAAAATTTGACAGTTCCAACTATTTTGGATCATCCATTGATACTATTGGAGGGGTGTTGTACCCTTTTTTGAGTTTTACATCATTTATCAAATAGATTCTGTCCACAAAAAAAAATGTTGTGATGATGAAGAATATAGTTTCGAACAAGGAAATGTTTCAGACTTCATAAAGAGTAGTATTTTTAATTTTAAAATGGTGGAAATGCTGGTAAAGTGTTCTTTTAAAAAAAAGAACATGGTACACCCCTAGACCATAAATGGTGTGATCCACTTTGGTGACATTCTATCCCGTTGCTTGCATGTGTTGTGCTGGGACTACACACTGTACATACACAGCAGCTCAACACGTGCGTCAGGTGCTTGTTTTCATTTTCACCAAAGAATGTTTATGGACGTTCTGATAGCAGAAAGTTGTCTGTTTTGGAGGATAAAAGGTGGTGAGATTTTCAAGAAGCGTACGTGAGTTTGGGAGACTTACAGTCACACAACGGCCCGATCGACCAACTGAACACTAAATAAATTTTGCATCACACAATGTGCCATGTATTTTGAAAGTGCGGAGCACTTTTATGGATAATGCGTTGCAAAATGCGATGTGAAAATCAAACAGGGAAAATCGAACACTGCTTACTCGTGTGGGTGCTGAGGGGCTATTTACTGTGGTATAAAATAGATAATATTATAAGGTTTAACAGGAAAGAGAGTCCCGGATGTTGGCTGTTAATTCCTTCCTTCAGTTTTCCAGAGTACTTACTCTTCTTTCATTTATCTTGCATCCCCGTACCTGCAGCGGCTTTTGGCCTTGTTCAGGACAAATATGCTTAAAAACAAGTATCAAAATCCAGCAAAGAATGATCAATGTTATATCTTCCCCCAAACTTTGCCTAAACTTGTGTGAATTTCATCATTATTGGCCCGAGACTTTTGACCTGAAATATCTCTGCTGCTCAATGCCCCTTGTGTCCAAATTGATAGCATTTTGGCAAATACTTGCAAATAAGAGTGATTTGAAAAACATGCAGATATATGGTTATAAATTTACAACTGGTAAGAGTCCCCAACATTCTTTTATTCAACTAAAAAAAAAAGGAATTTGTATCAAAATTATTGATGGTTTGAAATGAACCATTGCTCTGCCAAACATCTTCTTTTTAAATACTTCATCCATTTACAGATCAATACATATTTGTCATTTTGTTTATATATAGACACAGCTGGCACTGAGGCATGCCTTGTGACCTATGCGCTCTGTACACGACAGATTGACAAATATTTTACCAGCATGAATGGACACAAAACATTGAACAGGTAAGTAGAACGATGTCTACTTTGACATACCATGGACATACTACCCCTATAATCGGTGTGTTTCATTCAATTATAACAAATGCAAATGGTATACATTACCTTTAACATAGAACAAAATCAAAGTGAGATATAAATCATTCTTTGTAAGATATAATACTATGGCCCATTTTATGCCTTCTATTATTCTCACCTCTCATGTGTAAGCAGACACTGTGTAATGATCTTTATAACTTGCTGCAAATTGTAACCTGGGAGACAGTTTGGTTTGGTCTCACATCCAGGAATCTCAGACTTCTTCTTGTCCTGACCGTACCTAAAGGTATCAAAACTTTTATTGAGAAATGGCCGCATTTCTTTTTAACAAACAATAAACACTACTGATTTTTCAACTACAGTGAATTTCCCAGCGAACACTTCATGATGTCAACTTTTCATCGCATTCGCACTCACATGAAGGTAGAAACAGCCACAAGGCTTTGTAAATCTGTGACTATTATGTAGATTCTCTGTGACCTTGGCAATACGATAAGTAAACAATACTGACTCCTGCTTAAAAAGAAAGGCATTTAAAAGTGGGGGTGTTTGGGAGGGGGCTTAGGTAGCCACTGTCACTGCGGGTATTTCCATGATGCACACATGCATTATAATTACATGTACAGTACATCTTTTTATCCGCTATCTAATATACAGTCTTAAAGAGGTTGTGGAATGCTCGAAGACATTTCCGTCATTTTTCGGGTATATGTAGCCTAAGGTGTGATGAAATAAAAACGACTATTGTTTCTGTCATGAAATGAGTACAAAAGGTACTTTTGAGAGCTGTTTTTCAGGTCCAGTTTCGACCCGAACGTGCAACTGTGTAAAAGTCGTCGTTGCGGGCAGCAAACAAAACACAGTAAATCGTGACGTAATAAACAGGACTCGTGTATGCTACTGTGCATCGGGAGTCCTGTTTATTACGTCACGATTTACTGTGTTTTGTTTGCTGCCCGCAACGACGACATTTACACAGTTGCACGTTCAGGTCGAAACTGGACCTGAAAAACAGCTCTCAAAAGTACCTTTTGTACTCATTTCATGACAGAAACAATAGTCGTTTTTATTTCATCACACCTTAGGCTACATATACCCGAAAAATGACGGAAATGTCTTCGAGCATTCCACATCCTCTTTAATGTTACGGTCTTCATTCACAAGTACTGTTGCCCATCATCGTTAAGAAAGGGAGTGTTGCAGAACACCAGTGGTAGAGACATTTGAATGAACTGTTGACGATGCCAGACGTCCATGCAGTGTTCAAGCCAGGATGAAATTATAGCATAGGGACATTTGAAATGAGGAGTAATGCGAATGCGCAGCACAAAGCCCTAATGGCATGGGGTCAAGATTTTGGATTCTACTAGATGTTCAGTGGTGCAATCTGAGGCGATTCCTGGCCACTTCCTCTTATTTTTTTGGGCAGAAGTATTTATAACTAGAGTTTGTGGTACAAACACACTGGGTTGGGCTAGCATATGTTTGTATTGATGGCAGGAAATATGACTGCTTAATGAACAGAATATAGTGCCTTTTTGCTTTAATAGTTGATTGTTGATCGTTGATGTTGATTGTTGCTGTCGATTGATTGTTGATGTTGTTAGTTGATATTGATTGATGATTGTTGATGTCGATTGTTGATGATGATTGTTGATGTTGATTGTTGATGTTGATAGTTGATGTTAATTGTTGATGTTGGGTATTGATGTTGATAGGTGATGATGATTGGTGATGTAAATTGTTGATTGTTGATGTTGATTTTTGATTAGTTGATGGTGATTGTTTATTTTAATGCTGATTGTTGATGTTGATGTTGATTTTTGATGTTGATTGTTGACGTTGATTGTTGATTTATAAATACTTTGGAGAGTTGATGGTTTCTGATTGGTCGAGACTCGATCACGTGGCCGTGCATTAACGGTGATATAAAGACCGGCTTCAAAGAACAAAAATGGCCCCTGAACCAGCATTGATCAAGCCCCATGGAAGGCAATGACTGGCCAAATTTACAACAGTCATACAGCAACTTGTAACAATACAGCACTGCACATGCGTTCAACCACCTTCACGTGAGACTGACGCACGCATACGCAACACAGTTGCTATGGGTGCGCGCACGTAATGAAGTTTTAAAACGACTGGACATCGTACATACAGAAGTGCAGTATACTGACGATGTTTACGACGAAAGCCTAGATCTACGATTCATTTTCTTTAAAAACTTAATTTGCCCAACGACATATTTACCTTTCCTAAACCAAGCATCTTTGTAATTCTGGACACAAGGAGTGTCTAAACGAAATTCAGCTTCCTCCATCAGGTAAAAATATGAAAACATTGCTGTAATTTGTTCCGCTACGGCAGCAGAAGTCCAAACCCTGGACGTCGTACACGTACGCAATGAAAACGTTGTCCAGCAATGTCCAGTACAGCCTGGGCCCGGCTGTGGTGTATATAACAATGCTTATCGAAAAGACAGGGTACCACGCATAAGTTAAAATATGGCCCATGAACATGAACACAAAAAAGTCTGGAAATATCGCCGAAAGAAAGTCACAAAATTGGAGCATTTTAACTGTTTATTTCGTTAAAAAGTTATTTATTAATGGGAATAACAGTGTGAGGAGCCGGTCTTCACTGCGTGATAATGACCGGGTTCGGGGGTGACCGCTGTTAATGGACTGAGACGAACAGCGGTCACCCCCAAACCCGTTCATTATCACGCAGTGAAGACCGGCTCTTCACACTGTTATTCCCTTATTATTGATAGTTGATGCTAATGAATAATTATGGATGTTGATTGTTGATGATTGATTGTTGTTGTTGATTGTTAATTGTTGACATTGACTGTTGATTGTTGATGATGATTGGTGTTGTTGAGTGTTGATTGCTGATGCTGATAGGCTAGAACACTACTTCCTTGTCCACTGTTGCTTTGTGCACATTCAAAATAGAATAAATCATGTTTATTGTATTGTAAAAACAAGGATATTCTCCAAAGTCTCACTGTTGAACATACAAAAAAATGAGATGAAAAAAAGGTACCCTTGGGAGACATTTCCATAAACTTGTGCATAAAACTGTTTAAACTTTAATGGCAACTAACCCCAATTTTACCTTATCCTATCCCCACAAATTCTGGTGTGCCCTATCCACGTCTGGGTCTGGTAAACCCAGGGGGTCTGGTGAGCCCCATTGTATTGTATTTCTTTGCCAGTCTGCCAATGTGTCTGGCAATGTTGTGTTGAATAAAGAAGAGCTTTGGAAAAATAACATACAAACATTACAAATCAGGCAATGTTAACAGGACAGTGAAGTACTTATTTACCTTGCACTGATATCTTCAAAGATGAAATTTGACTGAAATAGTGAAGGAGGTAACATCGAGTCCAATCTTGCACCTACAAAGAAATAAATGGTTAATTCTACAGCATTTAGTTTTGCTAGTCCCAGATGGCGAGCCTTGTGTACCTACATTGTACCTCGCAGACTGACAGTCACCTATGAGTAGGACTGGTTATAGACTGATGAAGAGAACTTGGCAGTACTTTGTAGAGGATTACTTTGTAAAGTCCATTGTATGCACTGACTCAAGTCAATGACTCAACTCGAGTCGCAACTATTGGTGCCTTGGCTCAACTTGAGTCCCAAGGGTAAATGACCTGACTTGACTTGAGTCACTGTTAGCAAATAATTTGACTTGACTCAATTCCCCCATAAAAAAACTTGAATCGACTATATGGACCACACCATTTGTAATTTAGGGGTGTTCTTTCATAAGAACATTTTACCAGAATTCCCACTGCTTCAACATTACAAATAATACTTTTTAAAAAGTCCGAAACATTTCCTTGTTTAAAAATATGTTCTTCAACATCACCATATAATTTTTGTAAAGCATGATGCACCCCTTAACATCCAAATGGAATATGTCCATAACATTTCAACAACTTGCTAATTTTTAAAGCTCTGGCAGGAGCTTCTACTTGTCACTTGGTGGTTGGTCAATCTGTCTGTCCCAGGAACATTTACCTAAAATAAGGCCCCTTAAGTTTCCCACAAAAACTTTTGATTGAAATAGAGCAACAGCTACATGTGTGTACACGTAGCATCCCCTGCCCCAGTCATCCTACACATCAGCACTTTGGGTGTTGACATCCCGCTTACTCCTGACAAAGAGCAGAGCATACTGTCATATGTCCCAAACCTGGAGTTTACCCTGGTTCTTTTAAGACCCTCACAAAGTAAAAACAAAGCTCTCCTTTGTTTAACCTTAAACTTAAACCACAACATCTAAAACCCGTGAACTACGCTGTTATAAAACTCCTCTACTCTTCGGGTAAATTCAGAAGCAGTGAAACATTTTCAAACAGTTGCTCAACTTCATACAATAAGTATTGATAGTTGCATGCATTTATGTTGGCTAATGTACCTCCCATACGTCTGTCAATGTGCTAAGAATATTCGCATCCATGTGCATAGATTTGTGACATAGGCCAGTAAGCACAGTTTTGTGATGTCAAAATCTTTAATAAATTAAATAATTTCAATATTTTACCCAATTGTGGTTTCAAGTATTGATCCAACAGGCTAGAATGGATCACATCCACGTTTCTATTGCTGATATTCCACATAAGACTGCACACTCATAAAATTCCCTACTTATTGAAAAATGTATATTATAAGTTATCCCGCGAGCACGAGTGGAACACGGATTAATGTGGGACACGGACGCACTACAGACGCATTCCTTTTTTCCTGTTCCATGAGCGCGAGCGGGATAACAAATTTATCTTCAAGCAAACTTGACGCACACTTAAGATGGAACACGCACACATTGCATCTTAGAAAAGTGTAATACGCGGAGTGCAGTATGGACCGAGGCCGTGCTACATGGTTATATGTAGCACGGCTTGTTGCCATGGATCCACCAATCAGGATTGAGGATCATGGGCGTCGCGAAGGGGGGCAAGGGGGGCACTTGTCCCCCCCCCCCCCCCCTGGAAAAGCAACCAAAAAAAAAAAAAAAAAAAAGGAAGAAAATAAAAGAAAAAAGAAAGAAAAGAAAAAGAGGCGTGAAGACAAAGTGGTGTAAATTTAATGAGTGGGGGGGGGGGGGCCAAATATCCCTGCCCCTTCTAAAACTGATAAATCGAGAATGTGTTGAGAAACACAAGCATTTTTTGGCAAAATGTTTTTTTGCCCACCTCTAGAAAAAATCCTGGCGACGCCCATGTCGAGGATTCAAGTTTACTTGAAGATAAGTATTATTATACTTGTCCGGGCGTAGGGCCCTCTGTAGTTGGTTTCCATGATGATTCCATGATGATTCGTTTTTAGAAAGGTAAATATACCCAGTATGAGTATATACCATGTCAAGTTTCACCAAGATTGGTAAACGTGTGTGCATGTATATGCAAGATTGACCCGACACCTACCAACCAAAAGGCTAAGAATACCAGAACCTGGATTCAGCAGGACGTGTTTAATTTATTCAAAATGTTTATAAATTTCAATTTGCCAAGACCTAACTCTCAACTTAGCTAAACAGAATTTGGATAATCATAAATTAGATGCTGTGTAACCATTTGAAGGCTTTCAAGGTGAAAAGTAAACTGTCATGTAAATGATGATTAATAATGAGCAATTTTTCAGAAAATATTCAAAATTAACATGTATATATATTTCGTTTGACTGTAGCGCCCACTATAGTTGGTTTCCATGACATACCAAAGTTTTTTTTTAAAACCTATTCATGACGAATAATTGTGGGGAGTGTGATTAAGATCGCTCAACGTCTGCTCAGGTTTTCTTTCTTCCCCTTCCAACCCTATTGTTAAGAAAAAGCATCTAATCTCAATCAAAGGCGGTTCCAATAAGTGGCCTCCTGAGAGAATGCATCCCTAAATTTCCACTGTTGAGGACATGACCAAGATTGAAAAAAATATCGGTGGTGGTGGGTTCTGGGGGAGGGTGGTGGGTTCTGGGGGAGGCAGGTGCAATGGAACCCCCCCCCCCCCCAGCCCACAGACCATAGTACACGTATATGGTTACTGAGTTTCAAACACTGTCAAAGAACACGCATATGAATGAAATGAAATGAAAAAAAAAAGGACAAAATAACATCATTTCCCTACCTAACTACCTGGATTTTTTTCCAGGCCATAACCATAAACACAACATTTATTTTATTTGGCCTAACTCAACTCGACTCGACCTCCTTGAACTAATGACTCAACTCGAGTCACTTACTTGACTCGACTCAAGTCACTTATTGAAATGACTCGACTTGACTTGAGTCACAAAAATCAGTGACTCGTTACAACTCTGCTTATTTTGTACACAAGATGCAGGAAAAGATTTCCATGATTACGTGAACTGCCATGACAGGCATGATACACTGCAATTAAGATGTGTTCAACGTCCGCAGATAACAGCATGTTAGCATTAGTTTCAAGTATGAGCCGGCCTTAACACTGACAACAGAAATTGATACTAAATACATTTTTGGAAAATAAAGTTGGGAAGTAATACAAATGATTATTGCTCACTGAAGTTTTGTTTGTAAGTAACTTTGATAACCCTAATATTTTAACACAATTTGTCAAGTAGAAACCATACCCTTGAGGTAGATGAAACAGTGCAAGCAATATGTCAGATGTAGTTAATAGGGGGTAAAGCTTAAAAAATGAGAGCGAGCCGAATGTTGTCACAGTGAACATAGAATGGCCAAATAAGTCACTATTGATGTGTTAACAGTGAGTCAGAGTTGACTTGTGTTCATGTTTAGTGAACTGAAAGATTTCAAGTAGATAGACGTGACCAGTATTAAGAGACTGACAATTTGTCTTTGACATTATGCCTTTAATACCACAAACTATGCAATGTGTCAACCCTTAGTCGATGAGTTCATGAATTGAGTACTTCAACTTCACATGTAAATGAGAACTTGACATGATATCAACCAAAAACTAGAGATCTATGTCTGATTGAGAACAGAACCTAGGGCTTTTCCGCATTATGTCTTTTGTGAAAAGCCCACCCTCGCCGCAGACTAACATCGTTGAAAGGAAATTCACATCTTTTACCGATTGGAAACCACAAGGTACTTCCTGTTTCAACCGCATGGAAGGGTCATGTGTACTTGCACATTTTGTCAAAAATGAAGACCCTGGATCATTCTATCAATTCCAGTCAAAAGCAGAATCAGGTCTCTCACAATTGATTTTACATTGATTTTCAAAGATAGATTAAATCTGGAAATCTTTGGTTGCTTGTAATCTGACCCTTGATGATATCGTTGTGACATAAATGAAAGCTCAAGAGCTATGTGAACTATGCTAAAGTAAAGCAAACATGTGGATTATATCTCTCGTAGTTGATTTTTCAACAATTTGTTAAGGTTGAAAGGTCTTTTCATTGTAACTTCCGGTCAGGTGATGTCATCAATCTTTCTTTCCCTTAACTTGTTCTTGGCATAAAGCTGATTATAAATTATACATTAATTATAAAGTGATTTCAGCAACTTTTGCCAATCACACAACTGATCAGTCATTTAAAACGTCTTTCAACCTGCCACTAGAGGGTGCTCTAACATGACGTCATCCATATTTCTTTTGTGAAGTACAACCTAGCCAGAGACTGACATCGTTGAAAGCAAGTTCACATCTTTTTCCTATGTTAAATCATAAAGCAATTCCAGTTTGGACCGGAAGGAAGGGTCATGTGATTTGCACATTAAATCAAAATGAAGACCCTGGATTGTTATGTCCATTCCTGTCCAAAAGCCAACTCAGATCTCTCACTGTGAACTTAATATTGATGTAGAATTCTTTGGTTGATTGTTATCTTATACTTGATGATGTTATCCTGACATCATTCACAGAAGCTTGAGACTTATGTTAACTGTGCTATTTGAAGCAAAAATCTGGATAATATCTGTTGCGATTGATTTTTCAGCATTTTTTTTTTAAGTTTAAAGGTCTTTTTATTGAAACTTACAGGCTGGTGACATCATATGTCTTTCTCCTCCTCAACATTATAAGCATGAAGCTGATTATATACATCAATCCGTCGTGTGCCAAGGAAAAGGACCTTAGCAGCCCAGGCACACAAAATGCACTTGAAAGGTTTTGTGCTCCCATTTCTATATGAAAAATCACATCTGGCTGAAATTTGTGCTCATGAAAGTCGTTAATAATTAAAACAATACTATGCATTTTTTACTTCAAAATATTAAGAGGGGGCATTAGGGCACTGGGAACATTATTTGTTACATTATAAATACATGTTTACAACCTTTTGCCAGGCACAAATAATGAAAAACCTCCTTCCGTCCTTTGTTTACTGTTTATTATGTCAGAATGACATAGCCCCTTGAGACAATGTGTAAAAGATATTT